TTGAGCCTATCAAACAGGTTGTCTTCTAGTAATCTTCGCCACACGGGGATAACATTGCGGATACGAAAATTAACGTACAAGCGCAATCCCGAACGCCTGGGACGCGGCACTTCCTACCCTTAGCCGTTGAACGTGGCTTCAGTGATCGCAGCGTCGCCCTGATGAAGGGACTTCCACGCGGCGGCCGTCTCTCAATAAGCCCGTGTTAGGCAAAAAGGGTGTAAAAAGAAGACGGACCGTATGATCCAGTCGAGTATGCTGTAACTTTACACTTAGACTGAAAACACCCTGCGATATAGTAAAAACAAAAACGGCTCAGCTTATAAAAATCTCGTTACCACTAATTAGACAGGCATAGGCACTCTTGGAAATCTTTGCTACAGGACATATTGCGTTGAGAGGGCATTTGACCGATATCATGCAGAGAAGCATATAGAATATGTTGCTTTGTCAAATGATTTCCAGTGATGTGTATCAGGGTGGGAGATGCGTTTCTCTCTGGCTAGAAGACATAGAGCCGTTTTGAACTAGGAGGTGCGGTGCCAGATGGTTTCGTCCACAGGCTTTCACTTGTATGCTTAGATGAATGAATGACGTGTGCAAGTCCGTAGACGTGATTTCGAAATTCAAATATTGTTGTCTGGTCTATTGTTGTCTGGTCTATTGTTGTCTGGTCTATTGTTCTCTGGTCTATTGTTGCCTGGTCTATTGTTGCCCGGTCTATTGTTGCCTGGTCTATTGTTGTCTGGTCTCATAATGGACGCGACGCTTGCGAAGCACCGTAATCCGCAATAAAAGAAACAACATTCTGTGTAATGGGGTCTCGATCTCCAACTGAACCGGTATGGAGGATGAAAACTAGGCCGTGACTGGCGGCCAGGTATGTAACAGGAGTAGAAAAGCCGCACATTTTGTTTGTATGCATACGTTCTAACGCATAATTTCCGCGTACATTTATGGAGTTGTCTCACCCACCCCTCCCCAGCAACTCTGCTTGCGTCCCACTTGTCTCACTTAACGTGAATACCAAAATTCTGTTAAAAATAAGTTGTGACGGCAAGTTAATTGAGACCGTGCCAACATAGTTCAAAGTCCCTGCTGCTAAAATTGTCCTGACGTAGAGGACATTGAACACAAGTAGTAGGAATGAAGGTTGCTGCACCCAGTGGTAGGCGTAAAGATACATCGATTGCAAATATATGTTTTTTCATATAATGGAAACCGTCGCTGATGTTGCTGTTTTTACATTATTCGTCGTACTTTTGCCACCATAATCTGCGAAGCGAGATCGCAAACGATTCCAAATGGCCCTTTTTCCCGAAAATTATTTTCTCTGGGGTGTATTTAGGTACTTGCCGATAATAGCGAATAATTTCAATTCAACCGGGTATATGTCGCCATTGGTGGCATTTCAGTTACAAATATTGTAAGTTATTATTATTAAGCCGACCGTTTTTTATTATGACAGCCGTCAGCTACCCGAGCCATATGTGTTCGTTTGGCATGTTCATAAGTCCAATGTTTGCTTGCAGGATGACGAGTTCGACTCGGCTGGCGGTCTTCTTGGCAACTCGATGAAGCGAGTAATGCGGATGGCGCGCTCGGGGCATAATCGATATATCTTCTACCTTTTCCTCTTTTCGTTGTTCGTTTTCTTGGTGATATGGCTCATTCTGAGGTCCAGATAGCGACCAATACATGTGTAAAGGTGAATCGTGAAGGGCAGTCAGGAAACGGCGTTTCTTGATTGTTTTGCTCGCGGGGGTATATCATTTGGTGGAGATGCGAGTATAAATTTGAAATATGTTATGCATTATCCGGAACGTGGTCAGCGAGTGAATAATGAGGCACATTTTTGCGACAGTTCGGTTCGAAGTGTGTGTGTGTGTGCGTGTTTCAAACCATACAGCATGCCATCTCCTCTGCCGTGTAAGCCAATTACGACCTGTGTTGTGACCCTTCAGGTTATTTGGGTAATTCATCTGCCACTCATTGGTCGGCCGAGCTTGTCAGCTTATGAGCCGGGTCAAAGTGGTCGCAAAGTATTAAATGTTTTATCTGCAGTGCCCTTGTAATGCATCGCAATATATTTTTTGAACAAGCCACCGCATTTCCCACCGATGCTGATTTCAGGCACTGAAGGAGGGTCCCACAACCGCACGAGAGATAGAAAAAAGGAACCCAAAACTCTTGGGAGGGGGGGGGGGGATGGCAGACAGCTTTGGTCCGTTTCGTACCATGCAACGTATCAGTACTATTGTTTGGTTCTTGCCGTGTTGCGAATGTAACTGTCACAGCTGTTTTTACGTAGATGCGCGTTGCGGTTCGCGCCAGTAGCGGCTTTACTGCGAGGCCATCTCAGTTTTCCCTGGCCGACCGTTTGCTGAAGATGTATGCACTGATATTTGGTCGTCCATCCAGCACATACATTTATGCGAATCGCTTGCTTCATTAAACCATTAGCATGCTCTCACATCTAAATAGCTAGGGTCAAATAGAAGCATGATCACTCATTGGAAGACTAGCTGTAGAGGCACATACACAAGTTCTGAAGCGTTGTGATGGAGGGGGCTCGGGTCCCACCATACCATAAGCATGGAAACATAGCTTTGTCGTTACGATGTATACCACATGTTCTGTTGGCCCCTTGCTCCAAATGGATGTTTCCAATGACCAGAAAGAACTCGTTGAGAAACCATGCTCACTACAAACATTTGAATGGCGCTCAGAGGTGGCGTTTGCCTCCGAAACTACCAACCAGCACCCACTAAACCCCTCTCACTTTATTTCATTTGACCCATTGAACCCCCACCATCCTATTCTCGAGTAACCCGAGGGTCGGAAGGAAAAGGCCACTATGCAAAGTCATGTGTCAGTGGTCCTGAAAAAATTGTCTCCACTACGCACGCTTTTTCCACCCCCACCATATTGATCAGTGGTTCTTAGCCCTGCGTCTGAATTTATTCAGTTTTCGTCTGATAAATCATAAAATATTGTGCGTGCATTTTCGTGCCCGTGTGGGTGCAGTGCATCCGCGCTCTCTGCAAACGCGTTGCTACCACTATAATTATTCTTTGGCTGCCCATATCCACATGCAAAAACTTTGCACGCCTTGACAAAAGGCAGCTGCCGTTTAAGAAGGGAACCGGGGGCACAGCGAACAATCTACCTGCAAAACAATTAGCATGTTCATCTGAGCGCTGCCTGATTTGCTTTTGACTCTGTGAGACTTAATTTTGATTGTCGTTTCGGAGATTCACCCCTTAAAATTTCCAAAGCGACCTGTAGCTTTTGGGTGATATGGAGTTCCAGTTATTTGGCATGGAACTGGGCGTGACAGGTGACGCGATGGCTATAGAAATAGATTTTGTTAAATAGGTGTTAGATTCTACGTTCCCGTGCCTGGACTGTCTACCCTGTTTTCATCGAAATCGAAACCCACGACGTCAAGCATGACTGTCATTATCCCAGGAAGGCCTATGTAGGGCACTGGCCCAGTCGAAATTGAAGTTGAGGTTTTGTTCAAATTGGTTCCAACACCATCCATCGCTGCTGCCATAATAAAAGGAACAGCTCTGTATGGCAAACACTTCTTCGTTCAAAGGAAAACCAATGGCCTGAATCGCTATGTTAACGTTTGTCAAATACCCTGTTATTGTAGGCATCACGGATAGTTTTTTATCCACGTCATTTGTTAGACAGGCAAGCATATAACCTCTATTCTACCCTATACACGAAAACGGGCCAGTAAATGGTGTTTAGCTTTGCATTCGCTACTGAACATTTCACTCGTCTCTCCAGCCACTTCCAATCCAATGTTACCAGCGGGTGTGAGAACCCGCCATTCGCCCCGGCAGGACAAAGCCAGCGGGACTGCGGAGTGCGGACCACAGTCGGCGCGCAAGCTAAAATAAAGTGCTACTTCAATACCAATATTTTACAGCGAAGGTGGGCTGCGTGCCATGTTTCCCTTAAACAGCACAGCTGGTTTATTGCTATGTTCCTCTTCAACGCAGTTCCGGGTCTGCCAGTCATACCCCTGTTCATGTATTTCACAACTCGATCACAAAACCGGCACATTTAGCTGGTTGGTTACATCCGCTATTGGACTCAGTGCGTCTGGAAGCCCAGTGATCTCTCACAGCGCGGCGCCCCGCCATCGTTGGGTTGCACATAGCTGACTAGACATTACGTAAGCGGTTAAGCGCGCATTATTTCAAACAAATCCAAGCTGTAACTTACTTGCAACCGATCACTTCCACTGGATCATTGGCCCCGGGATGCACAGCCATGCATTTCATAAAATTCGGACATGAAAAATCAATGTGATGGGAAAACGCGTCATTTCACACCTGCCAAACGCGGAGGAGCTAACGCTGATAATATCATTTTCGACGTGACGCATCTCGCGCACACACCGTAAGTAGTCGAGGTAATACTGATCAATATCATGTGTGTGGGTTTAATTGTGTGTGGGCTATAATTATATATGTGGGTAATCCACCCGCCCCTATCAATGATTCCAAAAGCCTCACTACAAAATGAAGCTCTTCGTCAGCCAAAACATTCTGTGCAGTACAGAACTCGAGTACATAAGTAGAGCACATATTAAGATACGCGTCGTACATATTCCGCCCATTATACACGCGTCCTAGACGTACCCGCGGCTAAAATCGTCAACCGCGACCTAAAACGGTTGGAGAATGGACGGAAAGACCATTTCCTTTCCGCGTCTCTTTCCACGTCGGAAGCGGCAATCAAGCAGAAACGGAGAGCCGCTACCGGGGCCTGCGACGTCAGCTGACAGCCGGCGGGCCCGGCGATGGACCAGCAACGTCAGCGGTGACGTCAGCTGACAGCCGGCGGGCCCGGGGACGGACCAGCAGCGTCAGCGGTGACGTCAGCTGACAGCCGGCGGGCCCGGCGATGGACCAGCAGCGTCAGCGGTGACGTCAGCTGACAGCCGGCGGGCCCGGGGACGGACCAGCAGCGTCAGCGGTGACGTCAGCTGACAGCCGACGGGCCCGGGGACGGACCAGCAACGTCACCGTTGACGCGGCTGAAGCTGACCCCGCGCACCGGAGGAGGCGCGGCGGCCGCCCTGGTCTGCGGCTCCAGTCGGCACGTCCGCCGGCCGACGGCGACTACGGGTAGCGCGGGTCGGTGCAGGTGCACCAGGGCGGCCGACAGCAGGGCTGCAGACTCGGCCGCCACATGAAGTTCCCATAGCTGAATTGGCTCTCCGGTAGGTCGACGAGCGTGGCCGCGTGCTGGGCTGCCGCGCGCCGGCTAGCGGCCAGCACGCGGCCGTACTCGGCGCTGTTCTCGTCCAGCGGCCGCTGCTCGCTCGCGTCCGTTTGGATGTTGAAGATGTGCGGCCGCCCCAGCCGGTCCGACATATCGCACAAGCAGATATCGTGGCATACCGCCGTCCCCGGCAGCCACTGGGGCTGGTAGAAGTGCACCTTCCACGTGGTGTTCTCTGGCGAAGACAAAATGCGTCATTTCACTCCAACCTGCCGCGTTTTGGACGGGCATTGCTATCAATTTGAGTTCATCCTTCACAGACCAACCAGCGTCCAACCGCACGGCCAGCGTCCACCAGTTCCATGCCAATGTGCCAGACTATCAGGCCTAAGTCAATGATTAACGCAGACGCGTTAACCACTGCACTGCCGGCACCCAGGTGCGGAGACCGTGCTCGGATCACGTGACTGGCCACAGTAGCATGACTGGTGAGTCGTTTGCTCTGCGGTTCGGAACGCACAAAGCCCACGCGAAACGTTGTTCCACGCTCGAAGGTGGACAAACGGACGCTCAGTTGCCATTCTCACCGTTCTCTACCCAGCGCAGGGCGTGGATGGCTTCACTGCAGTAGTGGAACATGACCTCGTGCGGCGACCGACTGGACTGGCCTGTGATCAGCTGGGTCAGGTCACGACCGTCCAACACCCGGTCTCCCACATAGGTCTGCAACAAACAGGGATCGCGTGGAGGACGGCCACGGTACGGCTACGCTGCAACCGTGAACCGGCCATCACAGAGGCGGGGATGCTGTGCTTTGGCCGTCCGACTCAGCACGTGTCTGGCACGAGTGATCCCCACGGCAGTCGGCTCGCGCGGCTGACCCGACGCGCCGCTCATGGCCAGCGCACGGCCGGCCATCGATACAGCGTACATGCCTAAAACGCGGCCCGGGACCGTGACGTGTTACACAGAGTCTGGAGGCGAGTCGAGGCGCCCCGCGTCCACGCGGCGGCGCGCTACCTTAGCGTCCACGCCAGCTACGCTGAGCACGGTCGGGAAGAGGTCCATCTGCGACACCGGCGCGTCGATGGTGGAGCCGGGCCGAGCCAGCGGCGGGTAGCGCAGCAGGGTGGGCACGCGGATGCCGCCCTCCATTCCTGCCATGCCCTTTCCACCTGAGGGGTGGTAAGGTGTCATGCTCTGAGGGCGACCACGCTGCAATACAGTCAACGGCATAATGATCTGCACCAGCTGTACGGGTCAGCCTAGCGCGAATCGTGGATCGAACGGGGCGAGAACAGATTGGCCAGCGACCACCGAACACCTCGGGCCCTCCGCGTGTCACCGCGCCACGCATGAAATGCCGCGAGGTGACAACACATGCAGCCGACCAGCATCTCACCCCTGGCGAACACCGGGCTGCAGGATGGTGCGACTCACTTAAAACAGCAAACCTGTCACCAGCAGGGTCATTTGTCGGCGGTCTCAGCCCGAGTACGCCAGCGCAACCACGTCTCCTCCCCGCTTGTCTGAGCCACCCATTATGCCTCCTCGTACCCCGGGCCTTCCCCCACCAGAGTCGGCACTTACAATGCACCCAACGTGCCCCGGCACCGCTACGCGGCCCGTCGTGATATAGGACTTCAGAGAGTAGCCCATCAGGCCACCGGTACCTTTCAGAGAGCAGCCCATCAGGTCACCAGTACCTCTCAGAGAGCAGCCCATCAGGTCACCGGTACCTCTCAGAGAGCAGCCCATCAGGTCACCGGTACCTCTCAGAGAGCAGCCCATCAGGTCACCGGTACCTCTCAGAGAGTAGCCCATCAGGCCACCGGTACCTCTCAGAGAGCAGCCCATCAGGCCACCGGTACCTCTCAGAGAGCAGCCCATCAGGTCACCGGTACCTCTCAGAGAGCAGCCCATCAGGTCACCGGTACCTCTCAGAGAGCAGCCCATCAGGTCACCGGTACCTCTCAGAGGGCCATAGCCTCTCCAGTACCTATGGGCTACGAACAAGCCGTTCTCTCACCAGTACTTCTGAGCGGTACACTGCGCAATCAGTACCTAGTTCCTTCGAGCGGGTCATGCGTACCTCTGAGTGGGCCGTTGTACCCGCCTTGGACGTCGCCGGCGACGCCACGCTCCTCCAGGTGTCCGCCATTGTCGGAGGTCAGGTACACGAGCGTGTTGTCGGCCAGCCCGAGCCGGTCCAGCTCTGCCAGAATCTCGCCGACGGCCCAGTCCAGCTCCAGCACGCTGTCGCCGTACAGGCCGTGCCGCGAGCGGCCGCGGAACTCGGGTACCGTCGCCAGGGCCGTGTGCACCTGCCGGTCGGGCGCAGGCGCTGGCACGGCCGCTCCGCCCGGACGCCGACTGACCGGGGCGGGCCGCACACACGGGCCGACGGCCAGCTCGGTATGTGTCGAGCGAACAAAACCGGCGCCCGCGCAGCCGGGTAATCCATCGCGCAGAGCCAGGCTCTGCATCCACTACCAAGGCCGCACGCATCGCATACTCGCCCTGATCGCGGCAACCAACACCAAGTGAGCATTCAGAAATATTGCACAATGGTACAACAACGGTGAGGAAGACCGCAACGACGATTGCTCTTAGACAGGCTACGGCATCACGAGTCAAGGGGCGGACTGTCTGACCGGGCCTGCTCTACGTAAGCGCAAACGAGCGTTCACATCGCTTACCTTTGAGAACGCATGCAGAAGGAAAAACGGGCGATCCTGTTGCTTGTATTCGGCCAGCTTTTCTTTGGTTTCAGCGACAAATCTTTGGGTGAGCCCGACCAACCTGATTGGTTGTTCTACCACCTGCAGATGTAAACGAAGACGTCTGAAATCGGGGCGGCGACACTGGCTCTGGCCGATCAGTCACCAGTCATTGGAGACAGCCACAGACGGCTCCGGACACTACGGCGTGCTGATCGAACAGACGCAGACCAGCGAGCGCGACTCAACACATCAAACACCAGTCATTGGAGACAGCCACAGACGGCTCCGGACACTACGGCGCGCTGACCGGACAGCCGCCGACCAGCGAGCGCGACTCAACACATCGGTCACCAGTCATTGGAGACAGCCACAGACCGCTCCGGACACTGCGGCGTGCTGATCGGACAGCCGCCGACAAGCGAGCACAACTCAACACATCAAACACCAGTCATTGGAGACAGCCACAGACCGCTACAGACACTACGGCGTGCTGATCGGACAGACGCCGACCAGCGGGCGCGACTCAACACGTGGGGATCGCATGCAGGGCAATGTCATGCAACGAATACATCGAATGAACAGCTGGCGGACGGAAATGGGGCACTAATAAGGTACTAATCCTCGTCCCCAGAATAAATAGGCGCTGATGAATGCCAATTAATGCATGACTCCCAACCGTTGTATTGGTGAACGAGGCAGTCTTCACACCAGCACGGGTTAATATCCTACAAACCACTTTTACCATTTGAAATTACCTAAACCACAAGACGTTTGGCGCGCACACACTTTCAGAAACTGCCCACGTTAAAAGATTTAAGAAACTACATCGTGTAGAATGTGAGTGAATGAGCTATGCGAGTCGGCTTTGTTGACCAGTCGAGGAAACCAAGCGACAATGCTGGCGGTGGTGGAGCCGTAAACTAGGCTTGCAAAATGTTGGCCACCTAACACACGTCGCATCACTGACTGCGACCGGCCAGCTGAACAGCACTGGACGTATAAAGTAGCCGAAGAAATGCCCCAAATATTCATTAAATGCATTTTCTTGCTACTTTACGCAAAATGACGTACCATCTCTTACATGCGCTGACCATCCCCGCTATTTCTATACCGAAAGACATATAACCTCCTCACCCACCGCCGTGTCAGACCGCGCGGAAGCTCCCCAACCTCCTCACCCACCGCCGTGTCGGACCGCGCGGCAGCTCCCCAACCTCCTCACCCACCGCCGTGTCAGACCGCGCGGCAGCTCCCCAACCTCCTCACCCACCGCCGTGTCGGACCGCGCGGCAGCTCCCCAACCTCCTCACCCACCGCCGTGTCGGACCGCGCGGCAGCTCCCCAACCTCCTCACCCACCGCCGTGCCGGACCACGCGGCAGCTCTCCGACCTCCTCACCCACCGCCGTGTCGGACCGCGCGGCAGCTCCCCAACCTCCTCACCCACCGCCGTGCCGGACCACGCGGCAGCTCTCCGACCTCCTCACCCACCGCCGTGTCGGACCGCGCGGCAGCTCCCCAACCTCCTCACCCACCGCCGTGTCAGACCGCGCGGCAGCTCCCCAACCTCCTCACCCACCGCCGTGTCGGACCGCGCGGCAGCTCTCCACCGGGCGGCGCCGTACGGCGTGCTCTAGCCCAATTAGCGTATTACATATGCAGTGTTTTATCATCGAACGTGGCAAATCAATGGTGTAACATGTGAAAACACACGCAGCAATAACTTAAGTCGCTGTTGCACGGTGTCTAAAACGCACAGGTGCCTGGAGTCGTCGCCAATGCAAGGTTAGGGCTTCGGGGCGGCTGGCCAGATGAAAAACAAAATGCTGGCTAGTACAATGACCTTATCGCTGGACATCGCGGACTTCACCAATTCACTCATGGTTGGAAAATCATCATGGACTCATCTGACGGAAAGTTATTACGGACTTAACGTAACTCCGACTCGCGTGAGTAATACTTTTGCACCTGGCAACACAAAACATTGTTATTTAACAACGACGTGCCCAAATCAACACGACTTCGGGGACAACAATGGCGCATGCTACAGAAGTCAACACGACTCACAAACCTCGCCGTTCCTCATGATCAGCGAGTTGATGAGCTTGACGTTTGACGCCAGGGGAATTGTGGCGGACGCGAGCAGGGCGGTGAGCAGAGCGAGCCAGAAGAGACACCGGGAGCGCCCCCGGAGCACCGCGGCAGCCATGCAGGAGCCGGCCAGCACGGCGTACATCACGGGGAAAAAGTTCGGAAGCATGGCGGTCACGACAGATGTCCCGTCGTCACCGAAGTCCCTGCCAGAGTGGGAGACTGCATGTGACGATAACCACCTGTAAGGACACAAATTTAACGACTGCATACATGGCTTAGGGTTCGGGGCACGATTACTAAGCACGATTCGATCACTAAGCACGATTTGCAGTGACAGACAACAAAACCCGCGCAAAGAGCTTCCAGCTCAGCGGAAATTCTGTAGAACGTAGAGAGGCTTCAGTGCGCCACGTAATAGCGATGACCTAGGTATACCTAGGCAGGCGACTCACGTCATGAGCTAAGCTAGGCATGCGTAATGGCATGTGTTCGACGTGGCATGTGTGGTGGCGTGTGGAACCTACGACGATCCTATTATTGCAATTATCTCACCCACAAAAAAGCTTTTCCAGGAGCACCTTGCCGGACCCAAGCCCCAAACATGGCCAGACTCACACTTTGACCGACATCACTCGAGAAAGTCATAGCACAACAAGCGACCATACGTGCGACCATGCATTTGTGTAATTGTATTGACAGGGACTGCACGTGGGCAAGATGCCTCCTGGCGTCGATGCCAGGAGCCATAACCCATATGAAAATCGCATCACTAAACATATCGCGGACAAAGTTGTATAAACTCACTTCAAATTGGTCAACGGCATTCCGTACCAATACTGGAAGCCATGGTTGTTGGGCGAGTGACAGTTGTCGCCATATGTCTCACAACTGACGCCTAGGTGCCATTTCCCTATGTAGGATGTGTTGTAGCCTTCGTTCACAAGAACCTGCAAAGGAATCCGCATTTCAGGTCAGCGCTGTGCGTCTGCGTGTGTGCGCACGCGCCGGTGTGTGTGTCTGTGTGTGCATGTATGTATGTATGTATGTGTGTGTGTGTGTGTGTGTACGTGTGCGTGTGCGCGTGCGTGTGCGTGTGCGCGTGCGCGTGTGCGTGAGGACGTGGGGGGGGGGGGGCATCCGGCGAATAGCACCAGGCTTTGAAAATCTATGCGCAGGTTTTCAGCAATGTCAGAAGTGCACCTTTGTACTGAACGAGTTGGAAATAATTCAGTTCAATATCAGAGCTGCCTTGTTGTTCGTTTCACAAGTTTCTAAATCAATCAGCATAGGAACTCAAGTGGCTTTGAATAACGTTGGGAAAGAGGCGCACTTCTTATAGGGCCTGTCCATTTGTTCTCTACCTTACCTTTTCGTTCGTTATAAACACATTTAATGTGTTTATGTATTTATGCATTTAATGTGTTTAACGCGCCAGCCATGATATTCTTTTAGTGCACTTCGACTTGCATCCTACGCAACAGACGGTATGTGTCATACTACCACGGAATTATAGAAATCAGGCCATCTCCACGATGTGCCACACCACACCATCCGTGCCACACAGGAGTTGGTGTCACGGCGAGTGGTTTGGTCTGGCGTGCAGAAGGACATCCGTGACCGAGCGTGCCGTGTCAGCGCGCTAAGGTACACCGCCACACCCGTTATCCGGCTGCGACCTGGACGCCACCGGCCGGCGGGTTCGATCATGCCCACATCGACCTGATCGGGTCCACCGCCATCTGCTGGTCAGGTTTGCCTGCTGGCATGTGTGTGGACAGCTTTACTTAATGGCGCGCGGGCGGGACCAATGCGACACACCCAATAACTATAATAGGCACCTCATATAAGAACCTAAAAAAACGGCACCTCTTATCCAGTTACTACTGATGCATTATGTCGTCCGCAACATACATCTTCAAAAAAAGTTCCCTGTGTTGGGCAGACCGCCGTTCATCTCTACCAGTGTGATCTCTGTGTCGGGCAGACCACTGCTCGCTTTGGCCAGCGTGCCCTCTAGGTTGGGCAGGGCGCCGCTCACCCTCGCCAGCGTGACCTGTTTGTCAGTCAGGCCGCCCTCACCTTGGCCCGCGTGACCTCCTTGTCGGGCAGACCACCGCTCACCTTGACCAAGGTGACCTCTGTGCCGGGCAGACCACCACTCACCCTAGCCAGCATGACCTCTGTGTCGGAAAGGCCACCACTCACCCTGGCCAGCATGACCTTTGTGTTGGGCAGACCACCACTTACCTAAGTTAGTATGACCTCTGTGTCGGGCAGGCCGCCACCCAACTCTGTCAGCGTGACCTTTGTGCAGGATAGATCACTACTCACCTTAGCCAGCGTGACCTCTGTGTCGGACAGACCGTCGCTCACCTTGGCCAGCGTGACCTCTGTTGGGCAGGCCACCACCCACCTTGATCAGGGTGACCTCTGTGTCGGGCAGACCGCCGCTCACATTGGCCAGCGTGACCTCTGTGTCAGGCAGACCACCGCTCACCCCAGCCGGCGTGACCTCTGTGTCAGGCAAACCACCGCTCACCCTGGCCAGCATGACCTCTGTGTCGGGCAGACCGCCGCTCACATTGGCCAGCGTGACCTCTGTGTCGGGCAGACCGCCGCTCACATTGACCAGCGTGACCCCTGTGTCAGGCAGACCACCGCTCACCCCAGCCGGCGTGACCTCTGTGCCAGGCAGACCACCGCTCACCCCAGCCGGCGTGACCTCTGTGTCAGGCAAACCGCCGCTCACCTTGGCCAGCGTGACCTCTGTGTCGGGCAGACCGCCGCGCTGCGCCACAAACAAGATCACATCTTGGCCGTATGGCGCTGCAACCATGCCCTGACGGATCGGGTAGCGCGCCGTCAGCAAAGCCGCCCTCGACGGCGTGCAAGTGGCGGCCGCCGCCAGCGACTGGGTGAACCGCATGCCGTCCCGCGCCAGGCCGTCTGGCGGAGAGGTCGCACCGCGTCAGCCGCGCCTCACCGGCCCCCACACAACCGTTACCAGTTTCCAGTCACCCGTCACCGGTCATCCGTCACCGCAGTGACCTCTCCAAATGGGAAAGCCCAATACCAATAAACCAATGGGTTCGGCACCTAAGCGATCCAGGGTGCCGTGGCAGGTCAACAAAGAGACTCTGTCAGCAGTGTGGGGTCCTCAGAACAAGCCAGAAAACCCAAGATCAATGTGGTGACCCCTGAACATTTGTGAGTGCACCAGTAGGTTAAAATATAGCACCCCAATCAGAGAGCAGGGTCCTCTCAGTAAACAAGGCCAATATCAGAGTGGAAGGCCCCAGAGCGATCAGGAGTTCATTGGAAGATGAATGTATAGACCCCATGACAGCAAGAGTGTAGGATCCTTTAAGCAAGTATGAAGTGGGCAAGACCGATGCGGAGCCTTCAAGCAACATCAAGTGCCCCAGCAGGTTCGCATATGGGGACCAGACAGCAACATACAGCCTTCCAGGCAAATGCAGAGAAATCAAGGGCAGTGTGGAAAGGTCCTTAGCAATCATGGTGACCTGGTAGATATATAACAAACATATCATAGTAAAGTATATCGCATAAGTAGACATATTGGGACCCCAGCATCAGTGTAGGCTGCCTGGACAGTACGGTGTGTCATCGAGGGGTAAATCTTTTGGAATCAACTGAGACAAAGTTTTCCTTGGCACACAGATTAGTAATAGACTTTCAGGCCTGCCGCACTGCCACCAATGTAGATATGCGTGAAGCGGGAGCAGTTTTTCTCCGACAGGCCAAGATAATTGTATTCGACACTAGCGCCACCTATTTTACACGCTGGCGTCATCCTTGAACAACTCTCGTCTTGCCACTTTCCACGCTACTTGTACCTGGTGGGTTAAGCACGAAAGATATATATATATATATCACGAAGGACACCGGCATATCATTGTTAAGCAGCTGCTTAATTCACTTTTTGTAAAAAGTTAAATTGTTGGTAACAAACAAAACTGTTTAATCATAAAAATGCTCCAGCGGACCGGGACAAGCCCAAGGTTACGACTATTCAGGCATTATTGCGATGATGATTTGCAGTTTATATGCTTGTTGTGTGGGCGATAACGGTTTAACGGATAACGAATAACGGCTTCTGATGCAGCTCCGTATATGGTAAGTGGCGAGGACGCCGATTGTTAATTCCAGATGAGACGCTGTCACTGCAGATCGCAACGTAAACAGTCAGACTAACACCGCTCTGGCGGTCGACAGCAACGGTAGCTCAAACCGGGCCGCTGCTGCTATCATCCACGCCTTCCAACACGACAGCAGAGACGGACTGGCTGCTTGAAATCAAGTATCGTAGATCCTAAGACGATATGGCGCGCAAGAGACAGAGTTAGAAAAGAGACAGTTCATCAAAATGCTGAATCAATCTACGGATCAGGCTTGACAATTTTCCACTTCGACGGCCGCGAAGACAATACCTACATGACCCACAGAAAGCCACGCGAATGCCGTCGAAAAACACGTGGTTGTCACCGCTGAGCCAGGTAGCCGCTACATGACTCACTTCACGTCCGAGTCTGGCCTCCCTCTGCAATTGCTCAACGAGCTACACTCCGTGAGCGTGCAGTGCGACGGTTGCGCCAATGTGCTCGGCTGCGACGGCGCGGCCGTCAACACCGGGACGACAGGCGGTGTGTTCCGGCTGTTTGAGCTGGTCAACGAGTCATCCATACATTTGTTCATCTGCCAGCTTCACGGCAACGAGATCAACCTCCGCCACCTGCTACTGAGCCTGGACGGCACGACCACAGGACCGAAATCTTTTTCTGAACCCATCGGCAAGACCTGCGCCGGACAGGCTTGGGAGAGACGTTGTGGCATTCGAGCTTATGCCAGGGCACATGCTAAACCTGCCGTTCGACCTGATCCAGCAGCTGATCACCGACTAGCAGCTGCTGTATCTGCTAGTCTCCGGCGTTCAAAACGACTCCGGCCGGGCCGCAACAGCCCAGCGGCAAATGGACCACCGAACTATGCCAGATAAATATTAAAACGCATTATCTTCGAATTCAGAGCCATGAATTTTTCGACTTTATCACATTTAACTTGGTATTTCATGCGCTCACTGTTAAGCATTTACTCATAATCATACGATGTGCAATAGCATGTGAAATCATTTGCTCGTTGGTTCATGCTTACTAGTATATTTCCTGTGAGGTATTCCGTTACATTTAAGGACTCTGAGCATCGGCACAATTACATCACCAACGAGACACCAAAACTTTCGTATGACCTAATGCCGTAATCTATTCGTTTTTGTTTCATATGGTTGGCACAGACCTCTCGCCTGCTCCCAGCTTACATCTCTACAGAGACCTCCAGCAGCTCTCGCAAGGACCTCGTCCAGTACGGTGTTGGCCACTATGTGCCGGTGTGGTTCCCCATCCGGCATACCAACAGCTGCGACTTTGGCTCACGCAACTTGTTCCGGAGCATCGCGCTGCTCCGTGAGCTGCCGCTGCATACACTGCCACGGTGCAGCCAGTCCCCCAGTGCAATGGGCACTGGGCCACTCCGCTGGCCATAGTGCCGGACGAGAACCGTGTGGTCCGCCGACAGGCGGTTTGGATCATCGCACCGCGCGTGAGCGGCTAGTCGAGGGTCTTCACCATCCCAGCGATAAACTTCGAGGCCATAAGGTACACCGAACTGATCTCCTAGCGCGGACCAGCCACACAGCCTCCACTGCGAGACATCAGCGACGGTGAGCTGCGGAACAAAGCGCAGGTTCCGCTGGCCATGCCGCCCTATCCGCTTCACATCCCGGCGGTGGAGAAGACCGTGTGCACAGTCACCGAGGTGTGTTCGGCGGAGATGGGAGAATAGACACGATATGGCCTCATCACAGGCAACGCCAGATTCCCCCCCAACGTCAACTCTAAGAAAGATCTGCTCTGAAGGTAAGCTGGTAGTTAACTAATCACTCCTCGACAGTATCAGACTCCCGTTCCGACTTCAATCCATTATACAATCGCTCGAATCTTTAGGCCTTATGTCTTAATTCGTCAATATGCAAATAACATGCAATATGTTCGTGGTTCAGCAGCACGGCAGCAGGAAAATAGGAGGCGTGCAGCCCAAAGAATGGGGACGGCAGCGCCGCGTATCAACCAGCGTGGCAGAGGCTAGTGCAGCAGTGCCCGGGCACGCGCTACATCGTAGAGTAAGACCAGCGCCACACTGCCGAAAACGTCTGGGGCTTGAGCTGAAGCTTCGGCAATATGTAGAGCCCACCTGCAACGGTACTTCTGTTACCGTGCGACCTCCGCGAAGACTCGTTTCGGGTTTCCAGTCAATGAGCAGCTCCTGTTTGGGCCGGTGCATCGAATACGCAGGTTCGGCCAGGAGCAAGATGTGCATGGGGTGTACCCTAACCCCCCTCCACGCCCTTGGTGCAGACTGTAGGCCTTGTCATATGCATTAAGTTGTACACCAGGTAATACATTCTGAGTCGTATGACATGCATGGTTTCGTTTTCAGCGTGTGAGTTGCCTTACAGCAATGAAAGCCTAAAGCAGTACTAACCAACGCACCCGTCCACCACTAAACAACACATAAGGTTTCTGTCACATGGCAATCAATCGGCCAATGTCTGATTGGTATATTTGACCTTAGACCAGGACGTCTTCGTATGATGGCTTACGAAGCTCTCGGTAGCATCGCTTCCACACGCGAAGCTATTTTGAATTGCTCGCCGCCCACGGCTTGGTGTTACCCGCGGCAGCTGACACCGCCCAGCATATGGTGACCGCAACGCCGGGCGCCGGTTTGCAACGATATTTCGATCGGCCCGCCCGTCGCGAATTCAAGTTTTTGGGGAGGGATTTTGGGGTGCATCGACTGCTGTAGGTCATGCAGCTTCAAGTTTTTGGGTAGAGCTTTTGCTACGCTATGTACTTCTGGGCTCTAGCGCCAAGGAATTTCTTTGTCTCACTTGGTTTTGTTACTGATAACGCACCCTACTGTACAGTGTAATGAGCCCTCAAACCTCCATAGATTCCATATTCTTGATCAGTGAATAACTATTGCTATCTGCTAAAGGGCTTTTCATTTTCTCTTGTGACCTTTTCTGGTTGCCTGCAGGCACCTTCATTCAACTTTTGTAGATGTGTTTAAAAACTGGATCAATTTGACTGGTTATGGGCCCCTTTGGGACCCAAGGAACAGCATGCCCCCAACTGGATCCACCATTGGATGGGACACAAGGATGTGTCCAGTGTTCACAGGTGACTAAGTATTGTGCCTGGCCCACAGTCCATTCTGAAGAGAAAGTGCAATGCACTGCCTCAATTAATGGGTTATTTGGATTAGCATTTGAGGGCCAAAATTATAACATAGGGCAACAGTATAAAAAGTAGGAGATATTTCCTTGTTCAGTTTGACATAATCAGAGGCATACAGATGCCTTCCACTTGCCATTTAAAAGGATTTTAGTACTTCTTGGCATGACCCAAGACCACAGCAATCCATTGTATTATAGCCATGACTGCATTCTAAGCATTGCACATATGCTGTGCATTATGTGGCAACACATGCTAATATTTTGGAATTAACTGTGTACAAACCTAAGCACAGGTTGTTTTTAAGACTTCTATTTATCTGAATCCAACAATGTTGTTTAGAAGATGCAGATTAAAACAATGTTGATTTAGGCACTGCCTGTTAAAACAATGCAGAATAATCTGTCCAAACCTGAATCAGGAAGCATATTTTCCATGTAATACACAAAGTTGGACTTGTAAACATCTTAAACTCAGAGATATGCAAGAACACCATGGGATCAACACATAAGCACATAACAATTACTTGGCTCAGCGAACACTTCCAGCCATAGCTGCCATCTCTCCATAAGTTTGAAGAACAACAAGTGGCAATTTCATGCAGATAGATTGGCAGTACCTCAACATTATAAAAATGTTCCAAGGCACAATCAATGATGTATTGAGAAGCATGACTGCTAAATAGACATTTTGATGTCTAAGGCAGTCTTTTCTACTGAGAATCACACCAATAGTTGTATGTTATTTCACCACACCTGATGCCTTTTCATGACCTCCACTGCAGAACATACTGTTAAAACTTCCATGACTCCACTGGGGTGGTGGATTAAGGTCTGCACAGCACTGATATTTTAGGACTGACATAAAAATAAATTCTTGCAAGACACACCAGCAGTTTTGAAGAAAATTCGCGCTTACCGATATTTGGGGTAGGTATCGTCGAGTTGCCATAACATCCAACATCACCATACCCTAGGTCATCAACAAGTAATACTAGGACATTGGGGCGTCTTCCAGAACAGCCACAACCGGCTGCCAGCAACCACATTAATATAGTGCTTTTGTGCATGACACAAATACCGACGATGCACCATTACAATACGACTACACAATCATACATATCTAATGCAGCCCCTGTGCTCCCTGCTCATCGCCCACACTACACGTTCTTATATTAAGTGCTCTACGTGGCGCGGATGAAATGAAATATACGTCACCAACATTCACAAAACTGCCCTTTCGGTTTGCAGTGTGATTTGCGGCGGTCGTGTTCCAGCCTTGCTCCGTTTCTGTGTTAGTTTTTTTGTTGTGGGGTATTGTGGTGGTGGTATTTTTGTTAAAATTCCACCACACATTGCCCTGGTAGCGTTCACTGTATTCCGTCTCGCCTGTTTTTATTTCAAAACAGCAGTTCATAAATACGCTTCCCGCGCCCCGTCCTCGCGCCATAATTTAGGCTCCGTCCCTTCCCGTCGCCAGGAAGTGCTGCCACCTACAGTCGCTGTAAGGACAACGGGGCGGGTAACCGATCCGCACTGGTACTCGCGACACCTTAATGTGTGTCGGAATTGTATTGTTTAGTTTTAAGTCGTTGTAATAATTATTTCATAAGTTAATTTAGGTTAACTTAAGGTTAAGGCCCAAAGATGTCATCAACATCTCCCTTCCCCCCGGCGACCGGCCTGGCGAGGGGGTTGCTTACTCCCCCCCCCCCCCCGCTTCCCCTCCGGAGGGGCCGAGTTTTGTGCGTTGATCTCCACGCCGGCGAGGTGCATGTAGCCAAACCGCTCCGCTTGGGAGTCCTCCTAGTGAGGGCTTTTCGGAACGTCAGGCAGAGGCTCTGCTCAAATTGAGCAGTTTTCTGGGGCGGGCGGTCACAGCCACCATCGCAGACCACCTCAACACCATCCAGGCCGTCGCTTACAGCCCGGAGCTCACCGAGCTGTCGGACGACGAAGTACTGGAGGAGCTGACCGAGCAGGGGGTGTGCGAGGTTATACGCCTGCCCTCCCGCCGTCCCGGCATGGAGCCCAACCCACTCGTCCGCCTGCGATTTTTTTTTTTTGGGGGGGGGGCTAAAGCTCCCACTTGCCATCCACCGCGAATACCTCATGGTCCCGGTAAAGGCCTGGGTCCCTCCTCCCCAGCAATGCCGCACGTGCCAACGGTTCGACCACACTGACCGGACCTGCCGGGCTGCACGCCCGACCTGCGGCCGCTGCGCCGATCCCCATCACACGCGGGAGTGTGACGCGGAAAACCCGCGCTGCGCCACATGCAAATGCCCGCACGCAGCTTGGGACCGCCGCGCCTGTCCCGCTTGGCATGTGCAGCGCAAGCGCCAGCAGCAGGCAGAGGCAGCGGCCTATGCACCCGTCCGAATGCTCCAGCCTCAGGAGTGGCCCACCCCGCAGGAAGCGTACCCTCGTCCTCCTCCTCCCCCAACACCAGCTCCGCGGCGGCGCCCCCTCCCTCCTCCGCGTCCTGTTGAGGAGCCTGAGGTACCGAGCCGGCGTTGTGCCTAAGCACAACGCTCCTCCCCAGCACGCCGCCCCTCCCCAGCGGGTCACCCGCGTCCAGTGCGGCGTACGATCGAGCCCGCGCCAGCCGACCCAGTTACGGCGAACCCGGCGGCTGCCAGCCTCCCTGAGCAGGAACCCGCCCCACCAAACTTGGAGAGCCTCTCTCCCACCCCAACGCGTCGCTGTTGGTCCACTCCACTCGCGCCAGCGTCCCAAGCAGCCCCATCCGATGCCTCAGCCGGCGCGCCCCCGACGCCAACCCCCCGGGCCAGTCCCCCAGTCGAACGCCGAGCCCGACCCGTTACGCGCCCCCGCCGTCGCGCCCCTCCATCGCTGTCTCACTGCCGCTCCGCTGGATGGTCTCCCTCCCTGCCCTAAATGAATCCCCAGTTCAGTGAATTCTTGCTCCAATGGAATACGAGATCTCTGGTATCCCATTGGGCAGAATTCAAGGAATAGGTGACCAAAAAACAAACCATTGATAGCCGCCGTTCAAGAGACCCTATTTAACGACTCGGATTATTTTAATTATAGCTTTAAGATCAACGGTTATTGCCTCTACACATGTAACGTAAACGAAACCCCGCGCCGAGGCGGTTCGGCCTTGTTTGTCTCAAATAACCTTTCTGCATCGTCAAGTTCATTTTAATGCTCATTTCAATACAGTTGCAATAAACGAAAAATTAGCACAGTTAAATCTTACTCTTCTTTCCATATACATTCTCACTCTATCTCACTATACAAATCTCACTAGCCCTGTCTCCTCAGCTGATCTCTCCGCCTTACTCGCACAAATTCCCTCGCCCTGTCTCCTTCTTGGGGATCTGGACGCCCATCATCGCGCATGGGATTGTAGCGCGACACAAGCAAGGGGGGGGGGGGAGTTTTACACACACTTATGGACACTCATGACCTCATATGTATCAACGAACACTGAGACAACTACGCATCCACATAACCACGGAGGCACAGTGACATACTCTGTTATAGATCTAGCCTTACCAACACCACGCAAAGCACCACTCTTTACGCACAAGGTTCGATCAGACACGCTTTTTAGTGACCACTACCCGATCCACATAAATTTAGAGGTCCCATCAAGGCAAACGGACTTCAATTTTCTTCCCCGATGGAACGCTCGCAGAGTGGACTGGGCATTTTTCCAAAATTGTATAGATGAGGCACACCCTTCAGGCACAACTCCCGACCTCCCTACATTTCTAAACACTATTTTAGCCTCAGCGCACCAGTTCGTTCCGAGTGTCAGCGCGCAGTAGCCCTGCGGCTGCGTATAGACTGTAACCATGCGTGCCTTTCGTAATTGCATTTGCATAGCTCATGAAGAGGAGTTTCGCAGAGCTAAACATCAAGCCGATATAATCATTAAATGCGCAAAACAGGAAAGCTGGGAACAACTTTCGAATACGTTGAACCGCTTTACCTTCAATCTAAAATATGGCCACTGATTCGGTGTTTCACAAACAAACGCACGCCACATTATAAAACCCCACACCTTGTAGTCAGCAATTAATACTACATCATCCCATTCAAAGTCGCCACAAAATTTGCCGCACACTTTGCCCGTGTATCATCATCCGGGCAATATTCCCCACAGATCACTAACACATTTAATGCCACACTGCTCGCACTCAACTTCACGTCTGCTAACACTGAGACATTCAACGTACTCTTCACACCCTATGAATTGGACCTTGCGATCAGTAAGTGCGGAAACACTTCTGTCGGTCCAGACCAGTTAGCCTGCCCCTTCTTTAGAAATCGTACTAGGTCTGGACTCACCAACCTTCTGTTGGCTTTCAACGATATGTGGGTTAACGGCTCCTTCCCTCCCTGATAGCGCTTTAGCACTCTTATCCCCATACTTAACCCTTCTAAGCCTCCCTCTGACCCTTCGAGCTATCGCCCCATCTCTCTAACTAGCTGTGCTAAAATTTTCGAAGGAATGGTCAACGGACGTATCAGGGTGTTCCTAGAGTCAAATCACCTTCTTTCACCTTTTCAGAACGGCTTTCGTCCCGGCCGCTCCACGGCGGACAGCCTGGCCCACATTATAGATTCAATTCAGCTCGGATTGCAGACTAAATCCACTGCGGTAGCACTGTTCGTGGATTTAAAGGCCGCTTTCCTGGGGCCTTCAATTATGGTGAATAAAAGTGCCCTCCTCATTAAACTACATGAAATCGGAGTTCGTGGCCGGCTCGCCGCTCTCATTAAAAACTTCCTAACTGATAGGACGTTTTCTGTGCGTTGCGGAAATGCTTGTTCTTCCCCGACGGCGCAGGATCACGGTCTTCCTCAGGGCAGTGTCTTATCTCCAACGCTCTTCCTTGTGATGATAAATGATGCTTTCAATGATACTAATAATATTTCTCCACATTTTCAGTATTCTTTGCACGCGGACGACCTGGCTCTGTGGCATACGCACGCTAATGTCGATCGCGCACTGCATTATATACAATTAGCTGTAAAATATATTCACGCCTGGTGTGCACGGTAGGGACTGCAGATTTCCCCCCACAGAGTCAGCTGTAATTATCTTCTCTAGGCGAAATAATGTTCAACCTCCCATTCCCCCTCAATCTTAAGGGTGAAATAATCCCTCTAGTTGACAGTTGTTGACTAGTTGACCTTGGAATAACATTAGATCGTCGCCTTACTTGCAATGCTCATTTTGCTGACCTTAAGCAACGCTGCGCCAGACGATTGAACATAACGAAATGCATAGCAGGGCGGGAGTAGGGCGCCGACAGACGCACTCTCCTCCGCCTCTATACCTCCCTGATACGCCCGATCTTAGACTACAATGGCTTTCTTTCGATGATATTTCTTCCAAAAAAGTCGAAACCCTAGAGGCCATCCAAAACAGCCCTCCGCATAGTGACTGGTGCAATTCGCACCTCCCCGGTCCCAAATCTGCTCGCGGACACGAATATCCCCTCCCTCAACTCCCTCGCACACCTCCGCCCCAATCGCACACTTACCAACGCGGAACTCCAGCACCCAACCATCAGCACTCGTGTTATTCGAGCGCAGCGAGCGCTCGATCTCCCCCGACATTCCCTGCAACCCATCCCCCAGTCTCCGACCCTTTTGGGGTGATCCTATACCTAACGTAATCTTTCTGTTTAAACATAAAAACGAAACGTATCGGAAACCGAAGTGCATGCACTCTTCGCTGAGTTCAAAGGATAATATGACCAGCACACCTTTATTTATGCTGACGGCTTCCGACACGATGGTCGCACAGGAGCTGCCCTCGTACATCATAATTACCACAAATCAAACCGCCTGTCAAATTACGATGCCGTGTATACGGCTGAACTAACAGCAACCCTGGCTGCCCTGCTCTGCATCAAGCAAGGTAATCTTCAAAGGGCCAGTCATATGCACAGGACTCTCATTCGTCGTTACAAGCTCTCATCACTCTCCATAATTCATCCCACCGAACTTTAAACGGCATACGACGAACGCTCTGCTCCCTTCCTCAACAAACTCACGTAATATTTCTCTGGATACCTGGACACGCAAACATTCATGGAAACAGCACTGCTGACGAAGAAGCAAAACGAAGTCTCATGCTTCCGGAACGCAATCATCTTCATGTCCCGTTTCTAATATCCTAGCAGCTATCGGTTTGCACTTCAGTCTCTTTCTCCAATCCGAATGGGATCAACGCGCTCATCACCACCCTTCACCCAATCAAACCCATACTTAAGCACTGGCCGACAGTTAATCAACATAATCGCCTGAAGAAAGTGCTGCTTGCCAAACTGTGTATCGGTCACACCAAAATCGCCCACTGCCACCTTTTCGAACGCACTCCTCCGCTGTGTCATCGCCGCGGCATCCCTTTCACAATAAATCACTCCCTCCTCGTGTGTCCGGTATGTCAACGATCAAGGCAGCCGCTCATCAATTACACCACCGCTAATCGGCTTCCATTCAATCTCCATTCTCTCCTCGGTGATTTTTATACAGATTTGATCGTTCTCCTCTTTGAGTTTTACACAGTGCAGGATTATATATTTTCACTTGAATAAAGGGGTTTTCCTGCGTAATTTGGCAAAGATTGCAGATTTTTCCCTATTGGCTAGGAGTCCTGGTTTTTCTTAGGACTTTCCAAGGCACAATAACATGACACAACACCACAAGGTCGTGCCGGGCAGCGGAGCCCGAGGCTGATCTCCCCGTTGCTGCGATGAAGCGGGCCGGCATCCATCCATCGCACAGGTCGCCGACAAGTCAGCTGAGCCAAGGCCACCGGTGACACGGACACCCCACACAGGACACGCGGCACCCCAGGAGTGAGGCGGGAGGGCCGATGAGGAAGCTCAATTGTCGTTCAAATGTACTGAATGCATGTTATGTAGTCATGACATAAGTATATCTGTTGCTGCGGTCTGATTTACTTGCTATGATCTTGCTGGACAAAAATGAGTCAGGTTAACGTAACGTCACTTCAAAACACCCTCCCTTGCTTTGCGCCGGACGGCGCAAGCCGATTTAGCGTAATCGTTGCCTGGCCTTTTGCCGGAAGTAAATATCCCCCCCCCCCTCGGAGGTGGCTAGATCCGTCGAGGGAAGAAGGGGCCTTTGCGTTGGCCCACCAAAAAAAATCACAACTGTATGTGTGTGGTTTCCCCGTGCTTGCCCGCTCTAAAGTCGCCACCGGACTTACGATGGCACGGCCTTTGTGCGGGATCGGTAAGGCGGCCCCGCTTTCCTCTCTTGGCGAATAACGTCAGTTGAAGCCAATAAAAAAGCAACTTTCACTGGCGTAAGCGCGCGTAATTTGTTACCGGTCACCAGTAACCTTGCTTCCGGGCGGTTCCGGGTGTGCTGTTTGGTGACGTGAAAATCTCACGAGAATATCACGGTGAGATTGACAGGAAAGAACGAGGGTGGCGCGATTTTCTGCAACATTGCCCACAGATCACGAACAGTCACATCTCATTCCATGATGGTAACTGTGGGATAAGTTTCTGTCCCTCTCAAGTAAGTGGTAAGGTGGGAATATGGGTGTGTGTGCCTAAACTTCAGAAGTATAGGCATTGGTTAAATTTTATGTTTGGTGTGCATAGCATGAAACATGCGATTTGTTTCAGATGGAGAAGGGCGTTGACTGCTTTTCTCAGGAACCTTTCACCTACTTCACAGAAGGTGCAGTGATGTATAGAGTGTGATAAATGTTCATATCTGTGTTGCATGATCTTGCTTGACATCTTGTGACCAATGCAGTCATGTCATTGTTAGTAGCTTGCACTCTTATAGCTTGCAAGGCTTTGTTGTTGAAACCCTTACATATATCTGCAGATGCATATATTCTATTTGTAGTAATTTATTTGTGAAGGTGGATATTCTCTAGATGAGATGATGAGATGCCTTGGATACAACATATTTAGCTATAGGCTTCTTTACATTAGCCAGGGTTTTGTGTGACATTTATGCTCGTGCTTACAGATGCTCTCATGCTGGGTACAAATACAGATGGAGATCTCACAAAATATGAGGAATGCTTAAAGCACATGCAAAAGAAGTCCATCCCACAATTCTTGAAAAACAATGGTCTGCAAGTAAGTCAGTTTATGGGACAGCTGTCTTTTTCCTCTGAAGCCCCCCCCCCCCCCATTTTTTCTGTGCAAACTAGCTTTGCTGATTGTAAGTCAGCCCAGCCTGAGTGGGCTTGGTCTGGCCTGGTCTCGCTTGGCACTTATTGCTTTTGAGATGTTTATGTCATGGCAACCACTGAAAAACCACCATTCCATTGTGAACAATAAACAGCAATTTTAGTGAGGTAGTTGGAATATTTTTGTGATTCTATACTACCACTGCTGTTACATCTTCATCTTGAATTACCATGAAAGATACCAAATTTGTCATGCTATGACTGCAATGGTTTCCTGCTGTCCTCACAGAAACACACAATTGTGTCATGTAGAACAAGTTTGGGACATTTTGAAGATTGCTGTTTTTGACTGATGTGGGCTGATATTTTCTCAGATTCTTAGAGACAATTAAATATCTTGTCACCCACAGCAGGTAGTCACACAGAACAGCTATTGACTTTAGTGAACAAACTGTCAATGAATGATTAAGCATACTTTCAATCACACAGGGGTGCCAGTTATAGTTGGAAGCAATCTATGTCCCTATTTTCTTAAATCCACCACAAATACATCAGACCTGCCTTTAATGGAGACATTGCTGTGCAGATTTTCAAAGACAATAAGCTCCTTTTTCTTATGTCAAGACATCATCTGGATGGCAATAATGAAATATCATATTTGCTGGTGCCACCGGCACCATGCCAGAGCAGTGCACACACCCTGGCCAGATAACTAACTCCAAAATGGTATGTACATGCTTACAAACTAGATGAGGACAGTAATGCAAAAAATCTTCTAACTGTTATGTTGACACCTTGTCATAATGACTTCCTTCAAAACTTGTGATATTTTCTGAATCTATGAAGTTTGAGCCAAAGCAAAAATGATTTTGGTTCCACAAAACAGGGTTATACACTTCATACCGCTTCAGCTTCGGTCTTGTGGTTTGCGTCTTCTATGTCCGAAGCTGGCTGCTTCGGTTTGGGCTTCACGTACGCAAAGCTCGAAGCCACGTTCTTCGGATTCGGCTTTACTATTTCAAAATACGAAGCTACTGGCCTCGGCATCAGTTTTGCGGTTGTTTTTGAAGCTACTGGCTTCAACTTAAGCTTCTGCTGTATGACATTGTCTTGGTTTCGAATCCAAAAGCCCAGCTTTGTCCTCATTCCGGGCGTAGTTGCTGCTATACCTGCCATGACGCATTCCTCACCCATGCTGATGTTATATCAAAGCATGAAGACATCAGGCCGAACATTGATGTCAGCACATGCCATCCTCCTTTATTTTCGTAAGGACTGCATTTTCCTGGGCACAGAAGCTATGAAGTGTTTTTGTGAACCTCAAATTCTGTAACCCACTGACATTTCAGTATTGGGTGAATTGGTTGGATCAGGACAGCATTGGATAAAATTTTTAAAAAATGTCTGATGCTTACAATTAATTTTGATGACTGCTACGACCTCAGGGTTAATCACACATTTGTTGATGCCACTCTACCATTTTCCTGATGCACCCATATTTCATTGTAAAAGCTTATTACAATAAAGTTTCAGAAAAAATCGCAATGTTCAGCTGAATTCTCTAACAGTGATTTTATATCATATCCTGTGCAGTAAAAATTGTTTGTTCATAATGGATAATTTTTGAAGCAATTTTTTTGTTTTCAATTCATTTTTAAAGAAATGGGCATTGCAATGCAATAAGTTATTCCATTCTTTCTTTACATAAATACTCATGTCGCAAGGGAATGCAGCCCATGATTTTTGCTTTGCGTACATCCCTTAGCTGTGTGGCATACATTCCCAATTCAGGTGTGATATTTCATTTTGCACACTTTTTTAAACCGCTGCAGCATTTTGGCAATGTGCTCGCTTCAATGTGGACTGTAAAACCCCAAGACCATAGGAAATCTGATGCCAATGTCACGTATCAGTGCTATGTCCGACATGCAGAATTGGACCAAGAAGTGTTCAATTTTCAATAGTATCCATGGGCTGCATTTGTTGGCATTGAAAAACTGCCGCTTGGAATGTTTTCTTCCACGGTAGATGTAGAAACTAAAGGAGACAACATCAACTCATCAGTTATTGCATAAGTTGTATGTTAGTTTCCCCCAAATAGACATAAGTTTTACCATAATGCACAGTTTTCAACACCAACAAATCTTGGATGCCTACCACATCGCCTGTTTGCATTTTTTGTTACTGGCAGCAACTTGAAAAATACTCCATAAAGGAAGCACCACCTAGATTAACAAGACCAATGGGAGCTTGCCTCCCATTGGTCTTGCATTGAGGCTAATGAATTGCAAAATTATTCCAGCACACATAGAATTAACTGGTTAAAAACAAATATAGGTGTATGATGAGAGTTATGTTAACTGGTTACCCACGACTAGGAACTTTAAGCACATGACATGTCTGATGCGACGTTGTGTGCTACAACGGCCTTTCATTGATCTCAAAACGTATTTTTTGGCAGCCCCATTTCTTGAAAAAAGAGCTATATCTCCTACGGTGCAGTGTAACAAGAGACGTGTCTCGTTCCAGCACCTCGTGACGAATCCCGAACTGGCGGCATCGGTGTGCCGCTACCTGCTGTACGTGGTCTCCTGCCACAGCGACCTTGTGGTCGTCAATGCGGCGGCCAACACTCTCCTGTACCACGTCGAGAGTGGCGTCTGCTTCGCCCCCGACCGGTCACAGATATTGGCAATTGCCATGAACATGGGTCAGTTGTGGGCCTGGTCGGTCAGCCCAATGCCATGCATGGACACTAGCGATGGAAGTGGCCGAAATGGTAAGCGCAGCTGAGGTGTGCAGCTGAGGTCGCGTGGGATCGGCCGTTTGCAGTACATGTGCCTGCTGAAGGCGATGTGATTTGATTAATTCAGTTCACCTACAGAAATTGAACCCTATTCTTTGGCCACGTTCGTAGGAAAGTGCTGCATTCCATCCCGATGCTCGTGTCGCCTTTCTTTTCCAGCCGTTTGGTCTGCATTGCAATGTGTTTATCAGTGTGTATGTTTCATCACTGACGAATGAAGGGTTAACACTGCTTTGATGTGATAATTTTCTGTTCATCACGTGTTGAAGCCCGAGTGACGCATCCATAAGCAGGGCGGTGGGCGACTTGGATCTGACTGAGTTCACACCTGTCTCCACAAAGTAAAAGTTCCGTCTTAGCAGCGTAACTATCGTGCTGTGTGGGAAAGACCACGTGCGCATTATGTTCAGGATGTCTCCCAAGGATTACCGCACATATGAGACAGCCCATTGTCTTCAAGGCCAAGGAAAGTATGCCCTTTGACTTAGTCGTGTCTGGAGTACGCCAGCACGAATCATCACGTCACAGGGCGGCAGTTGGCTCATAAACAGCTTTTAAATGCATTAAGTGGAAGTTTCGACCACGAACCGCGGTTTGTGGTGCATAATACAGGCAGTCTGATATAGCCGTATTCATACACTTATACCCAAATTCATGGCGCTGGCTCCGGGAGTTCTTTCAGCAACAAGCTCCGCTTAGCTGGGAGGACTCCCTGGACATCCGGCTCGAAACCCAATCGAAAATGACCAGTTATTTGCCCCTCGACTTGTATGACTGTACAACCCTTACTAGCAAGTGGTAGTAGCTTATTGGGTGGTTCTGGCGGACTGTCATTTGCTGACTTTGGCTATGACTTCTTTAAGCCTTCTTGTGTATGATTTGTCCTTGCCTCTTGCATAGCACAATTCTTGCCGGGTTTGTACCACCTCGTCGCCTGCTTCTCTTTGTGTTTTTCCTCTTCCTAACTGGGAGTGCCGCGACTCGATTTTATATTTTCTGATCTTAAAATACGGTTGATTGCGTCGCTGGGATAGGGGGAGGGAGGGGCACTCCTGGTTACCTGTTCTTGGGTAACGGTGTAAAAAAAGTTGGATAGTGCTATTAGTCGTACCGGAAATGGGCCTCTGAGTCTTGTAACTTCTGAATAGCACCGTATATAGCACCGAGAATAGCACGTAGTCGAGAACGCAAATGCAAGTAGAAACATGAATCACGGATAGATGTATAAGAGCGCCGCTAGAAAGGGCCAAAGGCACGCTTCGGTGACCGCTGGCACCGAGCCAGGCTGGCCCGCTGCGATGACCGCTGGTTCCGAGCCAGGCTCGCCCTCAGCGGCCTGCTGCGGTGACCGCTGGCTCCGAGCCAGGCTCGCCCTCAGCGGCCTGCTGCGGTGACCGCTGGCTCCGAGCCAGGCTGGCCCTCAGCGGCCCGCTGCGGTGACCGCTGGCACCGAGCCAGGCTCGCCCTCAGCGGCCTGCTGCGGTGACCGCTGGCACCGAGGCAGGCTGGCCCTCAGCGGCCCGCTGCGGTGACCGCTGGCACCGAGCCAGGCTCACCCTCAGCGGCCCGCTGCGGTGACCGCTGGCACCGAGCCAGGCTCGCCCTCAGCGGCCCGCTGCGATGACCGCTGGCACCGAGCCAGGCTCGCCCTCAGCGGCCCGCTGCGGTGACCGCTGGCACCGAGCCTTGACAAACGATGGGCTTGCTGCATGCGCCCAGAACTAAGTGCCCCGCTTACGCTACGCCCGTGGTGTTGTGACGTCTAGCACCGGCTCATCTCGCTTGTGGTGTTGTGACGTCTAGCACCGGCTCGTCTCGCTTGTGGTGTTGTGACGTCGGTTTTGCCTAGCTAGGTCCGCAGTGCACCCTTCTACTTGTTGAGATGCACATAGTCATGGCTTTCATGTCCGGAGATGTCTCAAATGGTGGCCATAACGAGGCAAACGTTGGCAGGCTTGAATAAGGCTGCCTTGTCGGAGGATTTTTTCCGGAGATGAGCTGCCCAAACAGGACTATGCAAACGGCACCAGCTTATCTCGTAGCCCCGAGCCATTTCATTTCAGGCAGGTCAGTGCGGTGGAAGTGGTGGGTTATGCGGTGGGTCGGCCAGGAGCTGTGTGGCCCATCCTGGAACCCAAGAGTACGCGGCTATTGCATGTCGGATTCGTTCCGTCTCAATGTACCCTTCACTTTTGTCGTGGCTCAATGTAATTATGTTTACGTGTCACCCACGCGTGCCGCACGACCGGCCAAGCACGCTGCGTGACCTGGCCGATGGTGGGTTCGTCCACACATGTGATCCACGTCACCTGTCCAGCCTCTGACCAGACCCGTGACGTGGCCGGACTGCTCGTACCTAGCGGGAGCTGTGGCCGTGCCCAGCCAGTCAACACGTCTGCCCGCTGCCGAGCGTGTGGCCCCGTGCTGGGTGGTCGGAACCGGTCCGCCAGCGTGCCTCTGATCGGGACCTGTGAGCCAGCGCTGCCTTCCGTGGCCCGCCAGGTGGTCCGGTGTATATCCGAGCTGCTGCGGTGGAATGGCCCCTACTGGACTGACGCCGCCCGCGACATGCTCTTCGACCTGCTGGTCGCCATGCTGATCGACTCGCGCATGCGCGAGACCATGATGGACCATCATGCCACGCTGTGTCTGGGCCACCTGTTTAACACCTACAGCGAGGCTGCGTGGTCCGAAAAGAAGGTTAGTCGGTCTGTCCTTCCGTGGCCTCCTGCCCATACTGCAATAACATATGAGGCCTCCAGTCCACAGCCTGTTTTTTGTCTTTTTGCTTTCGATCGAATGCAATTACGCTCGCACGGCATCAAAATTTCGCCGTGTTTGAGCATTTTCACTCATTCAAGCTGTTCGGTTACACACGGTTTTCGTGGGATATGAAATGCGATCAAAATGGAGCTTTCCCATTACGATTCAGGTGAAAAATGTCAGCGTTTCTATCTGTGGAAAAGAGCTGCACACCCGTGGTCGGAAATGGGCCCACGCGCCGACTTCTCACCGTTGTCTTCGCAACGTTGGGAAGTCGAACGCAAAAGAATATATTTTACGGGCGGGGCGATGGGCAGGCGTAAGAGTGATGCACGTCGATGAGTGCAGTTGGTACGCGCGCTTAGGGCAAATTATCATCCCACTCATTTTTGCGTCTTAAAAGTTGAGGCCAGATTCCGGTAACCAGAACAGATGAAACCATCTGTGTGGTGCATACGAATGCATCATCTACAAGTTAATGGCGATTTCGAGACTGAATGGGTCGTAGATATGGTAGAAGCCGACCTGAACGCGGTCGTTGCCACGCCAGTTTTGGCCTCTAACATAGCGAGGTGTGGCTCACACCGAGAAAGGCCAAGTCATGAAAGCTATGCAGAGAGAGAGAGAGAGCGAGAGACAGAGCGACAGACAGAGCGAGAGAGAGAGAGCGAGAGACAGGGAGCGAGAGAGAGAGAGAAAGAAAGATAGATAGATAGATAGATAGATAGATAGATAGATAGATAGATAGATAGATAGATAGATAGATAGATAGATAGATAGATAGATAGATAGATAGATAGATAGATAGATAGATAGATAGATAGATAGATAGATAGATAGATAGATATATATATATATATATATATATATATATATATATATATATATATATATATATATATATATATATATATATATATATATATATATATATATATGCATGTTGTTCAGTTATGCATTTTTGTATACAGTTCACTTTTATATGCATAAACATATATATATATATATATATATATATATATATATATAAGAATGACACATATGTCTTTGGTTACTTGCCCTGCTTGAAGGAAAGTAAGCACATGCAGCAACTGTTGCGCTGAGGTCACAGGTGTAATACAGAGCAGGCTCTCACTTGACGTGTTGTTCAGTTATGCATTTTTGTATACAGTTCACTTTTATATGCATAAACATATATATATATATATATATATATATATGTATATATATATATGTATATATGTATATATATATATGTATATATATATGTATATATGTATATATATATATATATATATATATATATAAGAATGACACATATGTCTTTGGTTACTTGCCCTGCTTGAAGGAAGTAAGCACATGCAGCAACTGTTGCACTGAGGTCACAGGTGTAATACAGAGCAGGCTCTCACTTGGCGTGTTGTTCAGTTATGCATTTTTGTATACAGTTCACTTTTACATGCATAAACATATATATATATATATATGTATATATATATATATATATATATATATATATATATAATATACACCATTCTTTGCTTCGACTCTGAATTTGTACTGGGTGGCTTCATGTTATGAGTTTGTACTCATTGGTTGCCTATTATCAGTTTTGGCTTAGTAACTACATGGTGTAAGCATGTGCTTATTAACTACATATGATAAGTTATGTATCCTTCATGCTAGTGATGTGGACGCATTTTCTAATCAACAATAGAAGGGAACTTTGTTGTTCCGGCAACCCGGGTAGCACGCTTTCGAGGTGCAGGCATTGAGCTCCACCAGGTAAGTGAATTTGTTGGCTGAAGCCATGCAAACTGAAATCGATCAGAAAAAGCTTCGTATGTATGAAGTGAATCTGCTGGCTTTAGTCTGAGAGTTATTCGAGGAATTGGCATGCTATTAATTTCAGTGAGTATTGCTCGAGTATCAGTTTTAACTGAGTCAAGATAAATGTGAGGTAGAATAACTGGCCTTTGTTAGTTTTGTAGAAAAATACTAAAATGGGAAGCCAACATAATTCACTTTGTAGCTCTCTGAGGGCCCAAAAGGGGATGTCAGAACTTGAGTCCTAGAAAAGCTGCAAAGCCAAATATCGTGACTTTTCCGGTCCTTTTGAAATAATACAAGCACAGGCCACTTAGCCCACCTCGCATTGATATTAAGGTATTACTTGCCGGGAACAGACTAGCACATCAAAGTGCTGTGCGTGAAATGCCCTTGGCGGAAGTCAATCCCACAAACATTTTACAGGTGGGTGAAACTAGAAAAGAAAATCCCTTAGAGATAATGGTACAGCGAAACATGGCAGAGCACAGTACATAGCATAATGCCACGATGCATACACACATCCACAAATTGTGAATTACACAGTAATTAACCAAAACATTTGGGATCTACCCATCACCACGGCTGAAGTTGATAACCTGTTCATGTTCACCACTGGTGAACGGGCTTTCTGAGCCACATGGACCAAGCCTGATGTGATCATAGATGCGACCGCTCCGGAGGGTTGCAAATCGAGGATGTATTCCGAACGGAGCCAGAGCTGTTGATTGATATCGAATGCGACATACACCAGGCGCCAGTATGATCAGCCACTTAAGTCGCACATCGGACACTAGCGGGGCGCCGATATTGTGGAGTTTAAACAGCTTTAACACGCCCGAAACGAGTGCAAGAAGTAGTGTAGACAATGATCTGATAGGATGCGATGCGGTCCATACGCTGCACATAGCAGAAAAGATGTGAATGTGAAACGTCCATACAAATGTTCGCCCTGGGGAGCATCGCACGGGTCATGTCGAAGGCCTGATGGATATTTGGGCTGGCATTACGCGCCAGTCCCGCTCTGGCACCGAACCGATTTGGGATCTAGACAGGTTTCAAGCAAGCGTGTGTGGAGCTTCGGGAGGAAATGGTACATTCTCAAGCGCATGCCAACCCGCGTCACTGTATTGAGTGTTGCATGACTGTATAAGGTGTACCGTTGGTGTAAATGTAGGTGTCGTATTGGTGGTGTTCTTAGCCGGGCTGGGTGTACATGCTTATGTCAGTGCAGGCCAGTACGGCGGCAGACCTCATCTCGGCCGCGGTGGTAAGCTGAGGCCTCTTAATGACGACCACCAAACGTCTAAAGGAGGTTTTGCGCGAGGAGGGGGGGGGGGGGCAACATGCCGTACTCACTTGCTTAGCCTCTGATGGACGGTTGTGGAAATA